TCAAAATGAATTCTCATGTATGAGCTCTCTTATGGTTAAAAAGCTTTAGAGTCTTCGCATTGGTAGGACACAGTATCTGAGGCAAAACCGCAAATGCATAAAGACCTACGAACCAGAAAATCTGTCTGATTGTGTAGCATAACTTGAATAAATTTTGATATCTAGTGTCGCATCTTCAACCAGCAAGCTCAGAAGCGGCTGTGAGCTCACCTTAAGAGCATATGGCATAACATTAAGAACTTCAGATCCAAGAGGTGACAAAGAATTTGTAAATGCTAGCTCCAAGTGTAAAGCCTGTACAGCAATACCGCATTAGAATATATAGTCACATCGGCATTAGACAGTTTCAAACAACTTTAGTTCCCTACTTATTGATCTTTTACATACTCTTAGTTTTTCTTGGACCTCTTGGTTCTCATCCAAGTACTTGACCATCCAAGCTATCGAACTTGCTGTTGTTACCTGACCTGCACATAAAACTAGTTAGGGAATTCCCGCATCTTCCTTATACACATTTGTTCAACATGAAACTTAGCAAGTGTTTCAAGCACACCTGCAATTATCAGTGTCAAGATATTATCCAAGATTTGGTCATCGGTCAATGGCTCATTACCGTGTGATTCATCTCTTACAAGGCCTTGTAAGAAGTCTTCATGACACTCTGATCCCCGTTTCCTTAAATCTATCATTTTTCTTAGTGTATTCATTATCCTTCTCCTGGCCTGCCTCATCAATTCATACCTCTCACGTTAATAATATACCTCTTTCTTATTCTCAAAAGTGTTGTTCCAAGAACAAACTTACCTTGAGACCCCTGTAGAATCTAGTCCCTGGAAATTTCAAAGGCAAGGCTAGCATCGCTTCGCTTACTTCAGAAACATCATTTCTTAGAATTTCTAGCTCGTGCTCGTCCTCTGTGCTTATGAGCATCTTACAGATCGCATTGAACGTAATCTGAAATTAACAATCATTAAAAGAAAAGGTTTCACAGGATTAAACTTGTTAAATAATTCAAGAGTTTGTGGATTGCGCAAACCAGACGATAGCTACCTTCATAGCATCGCTAAGCACCAGGACAGTATCTTTCTGCTCCCAACCGCGCAAAGTATGAATGACCAATTCATCAAATTTCCTGACTGTTGAATCCATCGAGTCTAATTTGAACAGACAGGAGATGTGGCGACGGATGAACTTGTGTTGCTCATGAGAAGCACAAAGCAAACTTTGATCTCCCACGAGCTCCGTTATTGACCTTATATACCTCTTTGAGAAATCAGGAGACTCATGACCTAGAAGTGTCCGAACGGCGACAATGCTTGACACAAAAACATGGGTGCGTCCAAGTATATTGGTTTTGAAACACTCTCCGTACCTGTGGAGAAAACACAGACAAACGTAAATCTAGTAGTATTATCGGGCAGGGCATAGGTGGCTTAAACCCAGAGCATCTACAGCTCATCTTGCAAAGAGGCATCTTATGAGGAGCAGCTAATATGCAGTTTCTGCAAAGCAGAATTGAGTTGCGAATAACCAGTGAAGGGCAAATCATGTAGAATCTCAGAACATAGTGCATCCTATGAGTGGGTTTAACTAGATCAGGGAGTCAGATTTGGGTGCATGTATGGATGTCTTCGCCGAATTACAATAATTTGGTACCTACAGTGTTCGAAATCACAAAGAAAGAGGCAAAGGAAGAACATTTTTTTATCTCTTTGTTTTTCCACATAGTTAAACTGTAAATCCCCACTAGCTCCTCTGCGATCTCACCGAGCTATCAAACAACAAAGTGACAAGGACCGAAGAGAGACCCAAGATTCGATCGGCAGAAGCAAGGGCCCACAGAATAACAATAGCTGCTTCTCTTCTATGCTTTCTGGAAAAATCATATACCGTGGTGATGCTCTGCAAGTATGAGATGAAAGAATAACACCAAGCTCGATGTGATTTCGAGGGGTTGGAGATCACCGTAGATGGCGTGCCCTGACGAAGTCGTAAACACCCCTGCCGCTGTGGTTGGCCGCTAGGAATGCCGGTGTCTCCCCGATCAGAGGAAGTCCAGTGGTCCCCGGAGGAGAGGCCGCCACTATCGCCCTCCGGGAGTTTCCTG